TGAACTGAAACCGTATTATTAGAAAATGATATCGTGAGCATTAGGATGTATAATTCATGTTGCTTTCATTTGCTCAGACCATTGTAAAAATCCATAAATCATTTTCTTCTTCATGTATTGCTTAAGTGCAATTTGTCATTTTGCATTAGAGGGCTGCTTCAGCTCATCAGTGCTTTTAATTCACTGTTTAGAGTTTAACAAAATGCTGGCCCTGTCTGATAACTGAAAAGACACTGAAATGTGAAGCCGCACCAATATTAACGAGGTTAAACAAAATGGAGAAGAACATTCCTACTTTGAATATAAGTAATGCTTTAATGGAAAATCTAGTATTCCCAGTCCCCAAAACACGGATTGGTTTGTTCTCTGTTGAGTTCAGAACATTACAACACAGTATCTAAAGAGTAACCTAAATGCTTATAATAGTTTATGCTATAAACCTTTTCTAGAAACTCTAGTCAACATTCTCTCTGTAAAGTAGATGGACAAAAATTTACACAGTGTCTGGTCTCCAAAGCCTTGCCTTCCCACCTCTTAAGTTAGGTTACACTACTACAAATAAACCTATTTCATGGATACCCGTAAGAGATTCAGTATGGTCCAGGTCCTCTGAGTTTGCTCTCTGCACTGTCCTTGCTGGGAATGACAAATGCCAGGAACCACCCAGCTCAATCTTAGCCGGGTCTGGTGTTCAAAAGACTTCTTATTGACAATTTAAATTTTTTTCTTCCATTTCTTAAAAAAAAAAAAAAAAGCCTTCTCTCAAAGCTCTGGGCACACTGCAATAATAAGAGGATTTAGAAACAAATTGCTTTCAAGTCAAGTTAAATCACTGCAAACACTCATTTATCAAAACGCTGGTTAACAAAGTTGTTTCCCTCCCACCTTTTCCAGAAAAGGGTAGGGAAGAAAACAACCCTGTTACCTAGTTTCAAAGTTTGTAACTATGTATATAAAATGCATTTGTGGGATCCTTAGAGACCCCCCAATTTCTGCTGTACTTAGAGACCAATGAAATACATGAGTGTGCATTATCATTCTCATACACCAACCAGGACTTTTATGAAAATTGATTTTGATACATCCCTCAAAATATAACTACTTTCCCCTTCTGATTAAGATGCAATTTGTTTTGGCCCCACATAGTTTGCTCCCCTGGAGGGGGTGTTAGGTGTAGAGGGTAAGGGTAAGGGGTAAGGTTGTGTTCCCTGGGTTTTGCTGTTCCCTTCTGTGTCCAGTAATGGGGGTAGAGGGGAGAGAGGGATGCAGTATCACAGGATATTCTCCACTTCAAGGAGGTCGTGAACCCCCACTACTGAGTCTCTTATTTATGTAATCATGGCCTCACTAAATTCCGGGTTCACCGAAGGGAATGTAAAAGGAATTAAGGGGCATTTTTAAAAGGCTTTTGTTTTGTGGGTGAGGGGTGGGGGTGTATAATGTTTCCAGGGTAAGGAGGCAGGAAAGGCTATTAATGCCAGTTTATGATTCTTGCCCTGAACAAAATGCTCTCTCAGTTGCCCTTGGCTGGAACTACCTAGGAGGAGGAGGATGGCCAGGCTCGAGTCTGTTCCCCCTAGCAGAAGACCTTGTCGTCTCCCCAAAGGTCCTGGGCAGCTTCAGAGACCAGAAGTCAGAGGCGAGACCTCTAAAGGGCCCGGGCCCTGTGTCGCCAGAGCGGACACAGGCCTTCTTGACCCAAGAAATCCTGCAGAGCCCCCAACAGGCGAACCCTGCAGAAGGAGAGTTTCCAAAGCAAAATTCTCTGGCTTGCCCTATGCCGCTTTCGCCGCTAGGAGACGCCTGTAACCCACGTTTGCAGAGAGAGTTCCCGGCTCAAACACAACTGCTACCAAAAAAAAAAAAAAAAGAGCAGCTCAAGTGTTCCAGTGGATGTAGTGATTATTTACAGGCAAATCTGGCCATCTCTCCACGTTCTCATCTCCACTTCTTGGAAGCTCTGTGGCTCTCAGCGAACGCCCCAAGTGTGCTCAAACTTCATCTACATTTTCAAAACACAAACCCTCTCCCCCAAACAATTTCTGGATCTGCATTGTCATTCAGCCACATGTCTCTCACACGCAAACAGGCGTGCACACGCACGCACACAACAGTGTTTCCAAACGTATAAATGAAAACATTAGAAAATTACCGTCATTTAAAAAATGCTCCAGGGTTCTGATGAGTCAGCTGGAAGAACTCAAAATATTTCATTTCAATCCTGCAGATCTAAAGAAAAAGGGGGGGAGGGGTAGAAAGTACAGATGCAGTGCCGTTATTAATATTCAGATACACTATAATCTCCTTTTCATTGATCCACAGGTCCTTTTTATAAACTGCCACTCCATTCTCAGCAGTAGACGCGATGCTAAAATCATTTTAACTGCAGCGGTTTTCTCTTGGCTATGGCCAGTAGTCAATTTACTGCAGCTGAAAAAGGATTAGCCATTTTTGCTGGCATCCTTTCCTTCTAACCGCTCAAAGGCAGGACCCATCTCCATGAAAGAGCCAACGGTGGGGGCACCAGGGCACTAGGCATGCACTCGCGGGACTCACAGAGCCGTGCCTCAGTCTCTAATCACGCCCGTGGACACTCGCTCTCCTTAATTCCCTGCCACGAAGAAATCTCAACGTACCTCGGGTTGGGGAAAGGGCTCTCCTTTTCTCGCAGGTTGTGGCGGTGTTACTCTCAGGTCATTCATTACCAGGAAGCCGCAGGGGACCATTCAATACTGTGGCATAAGAAGAAGACTGAACAGGGGCAGCTTTAGTGAATAAACAACCCCCTACAGCCCATTAATTAATATAAAAAATACGCTTTTAAAAAATCTTTCTTGGAGAATTGGCATTCATTCCACTCTCTAACACTGAAGAGTTCGCGCTGTATTTTAACTTCACAAGAACTGGATGCATGGATGCGCTGCTTTGCCCCCACGTCACGGCAGTGGGCATTCAACACTCCTCAAGCGCATCCTTCGAGATCGGGGTGTGTGGTTCAGGGCTCCGATGGGGCTTGCACAGACCTGTGCGCCGGGCCAAGGAGGATGGATGTGAGCACCGTAAGTGTGCAAGCGCGTTCGCTGATACCCGCAGCGGCACACACTCGGGCGCCGCATGTGCTCGGCCCCTGCCCACTGACTCATCCTCACCCCTGCCCGTGTTCTCAGTCGCCCTGCTGTTCTCATCCAGAGATCTTGCCTCAAACTGGGCAACAATCGGTGCCCCGGTTTAGCATGGGGGCGGGGAGGGGGATCGCCAAATGTCAGGAAAAGCAGAAAATAGCCTGAGCGCGCGGCCGCAGCGTAGCACTTGGCCCGGTAAGGCGCAGGGATATCCGAGGCGCCTTGCAGCGCCCAGAGATGCGCCGATGCTAGCGAGTCGGGCGTTAGGCTGGCGTGCTTGAAGGCAGTGCTCAAATGAAACTCTTCAGTCATTGATCAAAGCGCTCGCAGTTCGAACTAGGTCCCCAAGGGAGTTAATCTATTTGGTAAGAATGCCGTGTATATACACTGAGGAAGGGAAGAGACAAGTCTAACGCGTCTGCACATCTATAGTAGCTGCCAGCCCACATCTCTTGGCGTGAATCCCTCGGCTTTTCAGGACCTACCTCCGCCCCACACTCTAACTGCTTCACTCCTTTCCACACAGCCCCTTCAGACCCTCACGCTTAGTTTTTACCCAATCCATATTATATCTCTTTAAAAAAATGTCCAGACAATCTCTGCCAGAGCCCCTTAATTGGGTAACCCCTGCAGTTAGTGGCCCCTCTGCAACTTTTCCCCTTCCCGGTGATTTATTTCCACGATCATTAGTAAAGGAAAATACCTTAAAGGAAAAAGAATGTTAGCGTCATTGGAAACCCCGCTCCGGAGAGAGGATACCGCTGCTGTTGCTATTATGTTTTCGCATTTGCTGATGCAAACAGGGGAACCTCTCTATTCCCTCTCCATTACCTGCGGCTGGGGATTGGGAACTTTCCTCAGCAGAGTCCCCAGCTAACGCCTCGGGACCTGCCGGGCTGTTCTCACTCTCACACTCACACTCACCCCGGCCGCCCGCCCGGTCGCGAGTTCCATCCCGCCCCTCCCGGCTGCAGAGTGACGCACATGCTTGACAGCCAGATTGGCCAATTAGCGGTGGCTCGGTGGGTGGTGCTCTTCAGTTATTGGTTGGCAGATTGAGGGCGCTGCGCAAAAACAGAAAAGCGGAGCGCTCGGAGCTCAGAAACTGCCAGCCGAGATCACAGGCTCTAGGGCTGAAGCAGGAGGAGGGAAAGACTGGAAGGAAGAGACAGGTTAGAGGGAAAGAGGCTTGGGAAGAAAACAGCAGGAAAGAAACTGCTCATCACACTTAGAGAGAGGCAAATGATGGTGGAGATGAGGACAGAGACAGACAAAACTATGAAAGCCAAAAAATACAAATAGAGCGAAAGAGGAGAAAATGCCAAGAACATCCATCCGGAGAAATGAAGAGAATGAAAGTTTTATGCTGCAGAGCCGTTCTATGTTTTTCCGGCACAAAATTCTCTTGCTGTTTTTAAGCCCTTTTGCATTTGCCAGCCGTTGACATTGAGGCATGTTCAACGGTGCCAGCAGCGTCTCTTCTTCCTTCTCCTCTTCCTCTTCATCTTCCTCCTCCTCTTCCACCCCCTCCTTCTCCTCCTCCTCCTCCTTTTCCTCCTCCTCCTTCTCCTCCCATCAGCAAGAAGACAAACCGAGGACAGTCTTGAAATATCGAAATTTCCTCCTTGGGATTTGCCAGCGCCGCGTTGCGCCAAGACTGTCGGAATAAAGGACGCTGACTATTGTATTATTATTTTATTAATTGGTCAGTGCGAAGATTACAGATGAGGAAAGGGGACGCCTGTCACCCTTCCTGCGCTAAGATTGAAAAATGAGGCTGAATTGGGGGAAGCCCGAAAATGAAGCAAAAGGAATAGATTTTTAAGGACAGAAAGCCACAGTAGCCCCCCACATAGCGCACTTTTATTTGTATTTTTTTAAGATTTTTTTCGTGGTGGTGGGGGAGGTGATTGGGTGGCTGGCTGGCTGCGGGAAGCTGCTTCCTTTCCCTTTGGAGATGATTGTGCTATTATTCTTTGCCTTGCTCTGGATGGTGGAAGGAGTCTTTTCCCAGCTTCACTACACAGTGCAGGAGGAGCAGGAACATGGCACTTTCGTGGGGAATATCGCTGAAGATCTGGGCTTGGACATTACAAAACTTTCAGCTCGCAGGTTTCAAACGGTGCCCAACTCTCGGACCCCTTACTTGGACCTCAACCTGGAGACCGGGGTGCTGTACGTGAACGAGAAGATCGACCGCGAGCAAATCTGCAAGCAGAGCCCCTCCTGCGTCCTGCACCTGGAGGTCTTCCTGGAGAACCCCCTCGAGCTGTTCCGGGTGGAGATCGAAGTGCTGGACATCAATGACAACCCCCCCTCCTTCCCGGAGCCGGACCTGACGGTGGAGATCTCTGAGAGCGCTACGCCGGGCACCCGGTTCCCCCTGGAGAGCGCTTTCGACCCAGACGTGGGCACCAACTCCTTGCGCGACTACGAGATAACCCCCAACAGCTACTTCTCCCTGGACGTGCAGACCCAGGGGGATGGCAACCGATTCGCCGAGCTGGTGCTGGAGAAGCCGCTGGACCGAGAGCAGCAAGCGGTGCACCGCTACGTGCTGACCGCGGTGGACGGGGGAGGAGGGGGAGGAGGAGGAGAAGGAGGGGGAGGCGGCGGGGGAGGGGGCCTACCACCCCAACAGCAGCGCACCGGCACTGCCCTACTCACCATCCGAGTGCTGGACTCCAACGACAATGTCCCCGCCTTCGACCAACCCGTCTACACTGTGTCCCTACCAGAGAACTCGCCACCGGGCACGCTTGTAATCCAGCTCAACGCCACAGACCCAGATGAGGGACAGAATGGCGAAGTCGTGTATTCCTTCAGCAGCCACATTTCGCCCAGGGCGCGGGAGCTCTTTGGACTCTCCCCGCGCACCGGCCGACTGGAGGTGAGCGGCGAGCTAGACTATGAAGAGAGCCCGGTGTACCAAGTATACGTACAAGCCAAGGACTTGGGCCCCAACGCCGTGCCCGCGCACTGCAAGGTGCTAGTGCGAGTACTGGATGCTAACGACAACGCGCCAGAGATCAGCTTCAGCACGGTGAAGGAGGCGGTGAGCGAGGGCGCGGCGCCCGGTACAGTAGTGGCCCTGTTTAGCGTGACCGATCGCGACTCAGAGGAAAATGGGCAGGTGCAATGCGAGCTACTGGGGGATGTGCCGTTCCGCCTCAAGTCTTCCTTTAAGAACTACTATACCATCGTGACCGAGGCCCCCCTGGACCGAGAGGCTGGAGACTCCTACACCCTAACAGTAGTGGCTCGGGACCGGGGTGAGCCGGCGCTCTCCACCAGTAAGTCGATCCAGGTACAAGTGTCAGATGTGAACGACAACGCACCGCGGTTTAGCCAGCCCGTCTACGACGTGTATGTGACCGAGAACAACGTGCCGGGCGCGTACATCTACGCGGTGAGCGCCACAGACCGCGATGAGGGCGCCAACGCCCAGCTAGCCTACTCTATCCTCGAGTGCCAGATCCAGGGCATGAGCGTCTTCACTTACGTGTCCATCAACTCTGAGAACGGCTACTTGTACGCCCTGCGCTCCTTCGACTACGAGCAGCTCAAGGACTTCAGCTTCCAAGTGGAAGCTCGGGACGCCGGCAGCCCCCAGGCTCTGGCTGGTAACGCCACGGTCAACATCCTCATCGTGGATCAGAACGACAATGCCCCTGCCATCGTGGCGCCCCTGCCTGGGCGCAACGGGACTCCAGCGCGCGAGGTGCTGCCCCGGTCGGCGGAGCCGGGTTACCTGCTGACCCGCGTGGCGGCAGTGGACGCAGACGACGGCGAGAACGCCCGGCTCACTTACAGCATTGTGCGGGGCAACGAAATGAACCTCTTCCGCATGGACTGGCGCACCGGGGAACTCCGCACCGCGCGTCGGGTGCCGGCCAAGCGCGACCCCCAGCGGCCTTACGAGCTGGTGATCGAGGTGCGCGACCACGGGCAGCCGCCCCTGTCCTCCACTGCCACGCTGGTGGTGCAGCTGGTGGATGGAGCTGTGGAGCCCCAGGGTGGGGGCGGGGGCGGTAGCGGGGGGCCAGGGGAGCATCAGCGCCCCAGCCGCTCCGGCGGCGGGGAGACCTCGCTGGACCTCACCCTCATTCTCATCATTGCGCTGGGCTCGGTGTCCTTCATATTCCTGCTAGCCATGATCGTGCTTGCCGTGCGTTGCCAAAAAGAGAAGAAGCTCAACATCTACACGTGTCTAGCCAGCGACTGCTGCCTCTGCTGCTGCTGCTGTGGCAGCGGGGGCTCGACCTGCTGTGGCCGCCAAGCCCGGGCGCGCAAGAAGAAACTCAGCAAGTCGGACATTATGCTGGTGCAAAGCTCCAATGTACCCAGTAACCCGGCGCAAGTGCCGGTGGAGGAGTCCGGGGGCTTCGGCTCCCACCACCACAACCAGAATTACTGCTACCAGGTCTGCCTGACCCCTGAGTCCGCCAAGACCGACCTGATGTTCCTTAAGCCCTGCAGCCCTTCACGGAGTACGGACACTGAGCACAACCCCTGTGGGGCTATCGTCACCGGCTACACAGACCAGCAGCCCGACATCATCTCCAACGGAAGCATTTTGTCCAACGAGGTAAGGCTGAAGCGAAAGGACCACCATCTCTCATCTCCTCCATCTGAAAGCCTCCTCTAGCCCGGCCCTTGTATCTCTGGTGCACTGTGTATTTATATTTAGGATACTAACTTATTTGTATCTCTGTGGGGGCAGGAACTGGGGGGAGGCTATCCCACCCCTTCGTATGTAACCTAAATTTCGTGTTGTCCCTAATTTTCTGCGCTCCACCCCTCCACATTTACTTTCATTTCCTCCCCTTGGTGCTTTGCCACCTTGGGCCCTCCTTCTTCCCTCTGGCATCCTTCCTTTAAAATCCTAACCCCTTCTCAGTCCTTTCCCTTCTCAGAAATCTCTGGTAAAGGGAAAAGTGCGCGGGGGAAGCGAGGGAATTGCGATGGAGGGACTTTCTGGTACTGGCAAGGTCTTTTTCTCTTTGCGTTTGTCCCAGGCATTAATAAAGTTAATTGTTTGCTTTGTTTATCGATGCTTTCAGTCGCGTGTAAAAGTAAGCTATAGATTGTTTAACTTCGCACAGTTGTCTAAACTCGAATGCATGTTTTAGTGAATAAGTTATCAGATCCTTTTCCTCTGAACTCGGGTTGCAGAAAAGCCTTCAGTTCTGCTCTGGACAGCATTTACAGACGCTCTTGAAGCCCAACGCCCACACAGTGTGAATTTGAATGAAGTTGCTTTGGCACAAACCCCTGTAAGCGTAAACTAACGAAAGGCTTAAACAATTGTTACCTTAAATATATCTTTTAGCTAATAATCACCTTTTGCCACTGTTCTTGATAAATCACTACTGCTGGCTTTCTTCCTCAAAGAATTTGGCTTGTCAATTCCGATTTCTGTTTAAAAGATGGCGAAGTGGCAAAGTTGGAAGGAGGGAGGGAGGGGGAGAACAGAGTTGATTTATGTACAAGAAAGTTGGACCAGAAAAGGTGTGTGGTTGGTGGAGTTGGGGAGGAGAATGCAGAGGGTATTTGGAGAGGGAAAAGTTTGGGGGGGGGATTATGAATTATTTTCTTGGCAGGTTATTTTATTTATTTGAGTCTTAGATATTATTAATTGACTTTAATGAATATTTGTACAGCTCATTTGTATCTTAAGCACATTTTGAAAATAAACAACAAAATAATTCCATAAAATATCCAAACTTTTTGCTTATTGAGCGTGCTGTTTTTCTTGTGTCAACCAGTATGCACCTAAACACTTTTTTAGGCCACTGAAAGAAAGATTGCAGAGTATACCTAGGTTGACTCTATTAGGGACAATAGTTTATGAGCCCTAGCTATGAGGTCATTTGCAATCTCTCCTTAAGTGCGCGCGCGCGCGCGCGCGCGCGCGCTCACACACACACACACACACACACACACACACACACACGTTTAAAATTGGCTTTATATTTTTGCAATGTTTTTTAACCTTTACTGAAAATCTGCATATTGCCCTTCCCTTACCCAGCAATCACTAGGGTGAGGCCTTAGAATAGCTTGAAAATTCATAAAACTGTACACAGTACTTAAATGGGACTCAATCCCTAACCTCAAAAGAAGACTACTAGTTAAGCCCTCAGCATTCAAATGCTCTTGATTTATTTATCTTTTTTCTAGACTAAACACCAGCGAGCAGAGCTCAGCTATCTAGTTGACAGACCTCGCCGAGTTAACAGGTATGGACTCTCTTTTTTTCCCCCCTAGCTTGATGTGTGGACAATTTTCTACCTACTAAAATTAGGATTTAGGTGTATTATCCAATATTAAAATATAAGATCTCCAGCTAGGTCAGAACATAAATACTGATTATGCTGGGGTTCCTAGACAATACATTAAAAATATGGGTATATTTCATCTATATACAACTTACTGAATATATTTGAATATTTTGTCAGTTTATACTCCTGCACTGCTTCTGATAGTCTCCCTATTCCCAGTGAATACTCTCTTTTATGAAAATGATGTACACATAAACATAACCCTAATCATAGAATAATGACTAAAGTGACATGCCATAAAGGCTCAAAATGACTGCTCTACTCAGTTTTAAAGAATTAGGCTTAAGGTGATGAAACTAGCTTTCTGCGGAAATAAAGCCGAGAGGTCTATGAATCTGCAGCACCATTGGTGACCATGTGGTGGCAGAAGAATATTTTCTGTGTTTCTTTGCCTTTTTTATTCTAATATTTGCATTTTTGTACTTCTAGTTCTGCATTCCAAGAAGCCGACATAGTAAGCTCTAAGGACAGTGGTCATGGAGACAGTGAACAGGGAGATAGTGATCATGATGCCACCAATCGCGGCCAGTCAGCCGGTAAGTGTGTTCAAAGGGCAATGCTGACTTTTATAGTTTCTTGTTGTTGTTGTTGTTGTTAAAAGTAAATCTAGAAAGAATGGTATCCTGGGGAATTTTCTGTAGGTTTAATGGTGGTAAGTCCACAGGAAAATTGTGTGTCATCCTATGTTGATAATTGTATATTCAAAGAGGATTATAAAAATCTAATGTTCCTTTGGGTAAGGTTAGAAGTTTATTGGGAAATATGATAGAATATAAGCTATATCTTCCTTACATAATGTTCTTTAGTGCAATTATATTACATACAAAAACCTATAGATTTCTCACCTGATCCAGGCCTCAGTCTTAGTCGTTAGTCAATTAAGGTATTATTAGACTTGTTTATGGATGAGGTAACTGAAGATGAATGAAAATGATTGACCTGCCCAAAGTCACAGAGAATAAGTGGATGATTGGAAACTAGAATCCAAATTTCTTCCTTTCAAGAGCAATGCATTTTGCAAGCCACTGAGTACTGAATGGGAGAAAGAAAGGTGATTAAAAGTCATGAATAGGCTGAAAGCAGGATTTCCAATGCTGGGTTCTTAGGCTTCAGGTCATTAATAAACGTTTGATAATGTGTATTTTCTCAAGCACCCTAGGTTTCCTCATATTTTCAATAGGGTCCATGACCTGTCAAAAGTTGAACCCCATGTGTATTTGTATATGAGGTTAACAATAGACACAGATGGGGTTGCAATGTGATACATATATTTTACATTGTTTATTTTACTTTTTTCTATATAAATTTAACTGTTAAGTTTTATAGGATGCTGATAACTCTGTTTACTAATCCTTAAAGAAAACACTATTAAAAATGAAATATATACCTTATAATAATGAAAATGATTTCACAATGGTTGGATTTTCTTTCCACTTCATTTGCAATTCAACTAAGAAGAGTGCTTATTTTTTGTTTTGTTTTGTTTTTACTTTTTCTTTTTTGATTGAATTTTGTGTTTTTCTGACATGTAAAGAAATAGAAAGGCAAATTAACCTTCGTAACTTATAAAAATGTCCATGATTGGGCCATCTCTAGATTCAACTCTGTTCACTTGATTTTAAGCTTTATTTTGGTTAATGATGTAACCACAGAGTGATAGAGTCCTCATTTTCAAGGTAACCTTGGTCCTAGAGAGCACACATTCCTTAACACACTTGGTGGACCTCTGAATGGTGCCGAGGCAGTGTGTCAAAGGGCAGTACCCGCCCCATGGTCGCCTGGCAGCAGTGGTTACCTCAAGCCTCTCACTTGGCTAATGTGTGCTGTGTCTGAGGCAGCCTTAGCCTTGGGAAACACAGGCAGGAGGAGGGGGGAAAAAGGCTGCTCAAGGGTCTCTTTATATTGCTGCAAGTCATTAATATGCAGACCTAATGAGACTTGAGAACTGCCAAGAATCCCCGGAGGTCCCTGCCCCTTGCGGGCCTTCACGCTAAGTGAACAGAGCATCTATTTAGTGTCTGGGAACCTGACAACAAACCAGATCTTGCCAGAAGTTTATATTTGAGTACAAAGTCCCTTTCATTTTTGGCCTATATATGGCATATGATTTATCGTTATCTTTAAAAAGCTGTACGTTTAGAATTGCTCATTCCTATTCATTTTTCATGGTGTCTAATTTAAGTTAGCCTTTTAAAACTTTTAAAACAAAATGTTTAATATTAAAATAGTATCTGCTGCATGTATCCTTGGGTGCATTTTATTCTTTTCCCTCTCCCCCACCCTCTGCTTTGTTTTTTTCTGTAGCACTCCAGTCTCAATGAACATTTCAATTAGTTTAGTCCCTCAGACATAATGAGCTATAATAACCTAACCAAAGAAAGAGAAACGAATAAACATCTGCAAAAAGTGCTAAATTTGGAAGATGGATGGGAACAGAGTCTTATCAATGTGCCTTCCCAGTAGCTATTTTATTTCTCAGGGACTCAATGTTGCCATTTTTGGTAATGTTTCTTTCGAATTATTTGAGATGTCAAAGCATTAAAAGGAAAATTAAAATGCCAAACTGTGTTCTGGAAAACATTTTTAAAAAGCAAGGCAGTTTGTATTTTTCTTTATCAATGGCAAAAATTTTTCCCTATCTTTACATTCTTAGATGTGAAAAGTATTACAGAATGCATTTATTTTTGTATTTCATTGGCAGTTCTAGGGCAGCTGAAACGTACTGAGCACAGTAATTGCTGTTTGAGAATTGTAATGACACACTTGTATTAAGATGTAATCTCACCTTTGTGTGCTGAATTGCAATCAGATTTAATATGTCTAATTTTATTGTAAGAATGATTTTGAAGTGTTTTCTTAAGTATAAAGCCCTGAATACAGAGAATTGAAATGCATTTACTTAATGACTTTCTCCAGTTCATACTGATGTTGTGTACTGTAAACTTCATAGAAAGTAGCTATATTTCCTAAAAGTTAAACCCATTTCAGGTGAATAAGTACATCTGTTTTATATTCTTGTAAAGCCAGGTATCGATGACTTTCCAATTTTTTAATATTTAGGAAATATTATTCACAGCACATCTATTTCCAGGTTTAGGATATGGGAAAAAAAATCATACCAATAAGCAAATCTTACTCAGCCAGTTTTTAGGGGGAGAACACCAGGTTATCAAGGAAAAATAATACTAGAAAGACATAGACCCTGAATTCTGTCCTTCAGTCTGTACCTCATTCCATATTACATTATATACAATATTGAGCTTAGTGCTTCACCTGTTTAAACTTCCTAATTTTTTATTTATTCTCAATTCCTTTTTCTATGTTAGCATTACTTTGTATTCATTTATTTAGATATGCTTTCTATTTATTCTTCTGTGAATAGTTTTCTTTTTTGTTCTTTCTCCCCTACCCCCCTTGCTTTTCTCCTTTCTAAGCCATTTGCCGTCACCAGTCTTGCTCATAGAAGGGCTTTAAACACGGAGGCAGCTGCACAGAGAATCACATAAGCTTTTTCAGTTTTCTACTGCACCTGGCTCCATGTGTGAAATTCTTCGGCTTGACCACTGCTCTGTGGCATTTTCTTTCCATAGCCTTGTCAAGGTGCTTTCCGTTTTTTTCAGTGCACTATTGATGTATTGGTCAGATATGGCAGAAGTCCAGGGAGATGTGGTAAATATATGCATAAACCATCACAGGAGGAAGATTCGATTAATCACAGCTTAAATAGCCAAAAAAAGAGTCAAAGGAAACTTAAAAAAAAATAGTTTCAATTTTGTTTAGTATATCGTTAGATTAAAAGATCTTTTATTTCTGATTTGCCATACTGATACAAAAATTTTAGTTGTGTATTCTTAAACATTTTAACATTATTGTAGGTAGTCTAAGGAGATATATTTAGTTGTAAGAATTTTTTTGCCTCGTTTATTAAATATTTGCAATGTGCATACTCCTGGAATTATCAGTTCATTTTTAATAATTGTGCCTTCATTAAAAACATACTGAAGAAGATAACCCTAATAAGTGATTCTGTTAATGTTACTTGTTATAGTTTACCTGAAAATTGTTAAGTCGCTCCTTCTTGTAAATTTTTCTTTCAGTTACAAGGAAACTTAGCTTCTAAGTGTGTTTATTTTTTAACTAATTATTGAGATTGATACATGATACATGGTCAAAATTTGCCTATACGTAAAAAAAAGTGTGATTTGAATTGTCAGTATCTTCAAACTAGTAGATAAAGTATATCATGAAATGTGTTCAGCCATTGCACAACTACTACAATATCAACAAGACAATTTTTGATTTATTGTAAGTTCAAATTTCCCTTTCCTAACTCCAGTAAGAATTTAGATACTGGCAGATTAGCATCTGGACTTATAAATTGAATTTTCATTATGGTTTGCAAAAGCTTATTCAGGTTTCTGGTGAAAATCTAAACTACAAATTGATATTACAGAAAGATTTATAATTGGAAAAATATATGACAAAATATTAGAGAAATTGGAGAAAAACAAACATTTTGAATAAGTAGGGAGAAATTTTGATGTACATGTTTTGATTTTTTCATGAGTGAATCATGTTGATAAATATCTGGCTATGAGCTTTATTTTCCTAAAAATTATAGCAACTTTTGTGGTTGTAATGAACCTTTCTCCATTTTTTGGTGCTAAGTGGTTAAAGGAGGATTGGAAATTTCTTCAAAAAATTAAATATTGATTTTCTTTAAAATTAATTTATCAAGTTATGAAAAATTAAACATTTTTTATGAAGCCTGAATAAAAAGTGAAGCATTTTTTATGAAGGTACATGAGGAAGAAATGTACCTATAATATTATATTATTACATTCATCAGAAAACAACACAATTTGAATACAATTATAATATTTTTGAAATCACAATTTGTTCTCAGTGGTAATATCACTGGCTCTGACTCTAAGGAACAAGTTACTTGCTGGTTAAAAAATATGTATTTTAAAACTTCTCTAAATATATCTTTGCATAACAGGCAGTCTATCACATCAGCTGTCATGCCTTGTAGAACAGATTATTTCTGAGAAGTTGGAAAAATAAATAACTAGGAGAAGAAATCTCAAATTATATATATATATATATATTCAGATATTTCTTAGAAAATACCAAAACTTCAAAACTGAGGTTTGGCCTGTATTTTTCTGCTGTACAAATATCACAGGTTCTATGGTAAGGACATTTGAATAAGAAAAACTAAAAATTAAGTTAAATTTATTTTCTCTTGGACCTTCAATTTGAGTTATTAAAAATTTCCAAGAAAAATGCATTTTAATATGTCGCCTGCCCTATAATACCTAGCATTCCTGTACATCGTATAGTCATTTATCATAACAAAACTTAAATATACTTCTGCTTATTTGGTCATTAAATAGTATATTTAATGGGCCTGGAGATAATTGAAAAAAGGTAAAATACTGTTAGTCTTTAGTGACTCCCTGACATGAGGACTGGTAATAGGATCATTTATCTGGTTCTCAAACTATATATCTAAAAGGCAAATGATTTGAAATATATTGATGTACTATTTGTTATTTTTCTTCTAATTTTGTTTCTATGTCTGATATTTTTTTCCTCATGAGAAATCGGTATGCTTGCATTATCAGTAAAACTGGTGAATTATATTCATGCACAATTTGTGACACCATAACTCTCATTCTGGTTATATAAAGCTGTTTGTTACTACTATGGGAATCACACTTTAAAAGGACTAGGGGCGCCTGGGTGGCTCAGTTGGTTAGGCGACTGCCTTCGGCTCAGGTCATGATCCTGGAGTCCCGGGATCGAGTCCTGCATCGGGCTCCCTGCTCAGCAGGGAGTCTGCTTCTCCCTCTGACCCTCCCCCTCTCATGTGCTCTCTCTCTCTCTCTCATTCTCTCTCTCTCAAATAAATAAATAAAATCTTTAAAAAAAAGGACTAGTTCATAAATTTATTAAGAATATTATTTCCAAGTGTTTTCTTCCTTCTGTCAAGTAAAATTGTTCTTCCAACAAAAACTTTATCATATTTCTCATTTTTTTGTTATGCGTATGACATATTTTCTGCACAGGTTCTCAACTCATGAGAACTTGATTGCATCATCTAAGGGGATTTTAACTCACTTCTAATAACTAAAGAAGCCGAAAACTGGAAAACCATTAACTTCAAGAGAAGAAAATGGGCGCAACTGAATATGTACTATCTATAAAAACAAGTTCTATTGAAAGCACCTTCTAACATAATCAAACAGCATCTTAATAATGTTGAAAGACTAGTTTATTAAAATTTTTCTATGAGAGATTATCATATTTAAAAATATGAGAGTCCTTGGGTACCGGTGCTCGAAAAGATGTGAAAGATTATTAATGGTCCCATGTAGTATGTTTAAAATGATATTTATCAGTCATGTGAGGAAAATTGCATTTATTCCAAATTTTGCATTATATACCCATCTTTGTTAGGGTCTAATAATGCAGTTCAATCTTAGTATTTGAATTAATTCCACCAACTTTAAATTTTATGCCTTGAATTTAATTTTCAAACAAATAATTGCTCATAATATTTTGACGTTTAACAGTAGTTTCATTTATCAAAAAAGTCTTTTTTTCTCTATCACACTGCAAATAGAGAGCATTTCTAGTAAAGTATTCAAAATACAGGGGCACCTGGGTGGCTCAGTCATTAAGCATCTGCCTTAGGCGCAGGTCATGATCTCAGGGTCCTGGAATGGAGCCCCGCATCAGGCTCCCTGCTCAACGGGAAGCCTGCTTCTCCCTCTCCCACTCCCCCTGCTTGTGTTTCCCCTCTCACTGTGTCTCTCTCTGTCAAATAAATTAATAAAATCTAAAACAAAACAAAACAAAACTATAAATCTCTCTGGTTCTATAGCTTCTACCTACCTGGTATGTCAGTGTGTATCAGGGACATTTTCCTTCCCTTACTCTTTTTCTTTCTACTCATCTCCTTGAAGAAATAGGATAAAAAACTGAGCTATTCTGGTGTCTAGAAAAACGTTGACATGTTTTACATGCTTTCTTAGTCTGGTTCCTTATCCTGGTTTCAGCTCACGTTTAAGATCCTCAACAGTTCACTGATCAGTAATTTATTTCCAGGCTTATGCATGACAATTATCAATGGAACATTATAATCGAAGTCAGACTCGGCATTATACATAGTTTAATTTAAAATAAAAATGTCATAAAGTGAGATTAATATATGATAAGAAGCTTCATTTTATTTCTTTAAACATAATTTACATAATTAACTGTTCTGAACTCCAAAATGCTTGTGGATAATCTAGAAGATTAATACTCTGAAAAAAATCTTTTCTGTATTTTATATATGCGGATATTAACATATACACACAAACAGGTAAAGCAGTTTGTGACACAATGCCATCAGGACTTTATAAACTAAAACTGACTCAAGAGTTCAAATCATGCATGGTATTTATAAGAAGAAACAATCAGGTGGGTTCATTAAATAAATATTAGTCTGTCAATTAAAAAAAAGAAATTCATGCTCATGCATCTGAGAGTTCCTGTTATACAGAGGAATCATACTCAAATTACTTTAAACTAATCCTGTTTAAAAACATGCACAATAAATGTGTTAGTGTGTTTAGAAAAATATTAAAATGTGATTTGGGTTTATGTGCTTGTTTTTCTGAGTAGGGGTAGTTATCAAAATGAATATCAAGAAGTCTTCTGTAATGCTCAAAAATTGTTATGCTTTGCTTAAGAAACTGAACTTTCTTGAGTCATAATCAGATAATGTTGAATGGTCTTGTCAATCTGTGGGAGACAATAAAACTTGAAGATGTCATTTGAAATCTTCATATTCTCGGATTAATAGGGAAACAGTTCTGTGTTGACTAGGACAAGTGTTTTCCAATATGGAACAAGTAATAAGGTATTTGTCAATAGTATCTGCAGCTGACTCACATTACACTTGATTACCTTGGTTTCACTAATTACAGTCATTTGTTCTGGGTTTGTCTGCAGTGATAAATGATAAGTGGTTTGTAGTAATCCAGAATGTCATTGACATATACCTTTTAGGGTCATTTTCTGAGAACCCGAGAAAGCATTCTCTTGACCACTCAAGAAATGTTTCATTCTCGATATTTGTTGGTTTATCATTATGTGTGCCGTATTTGTGTTGAACTTCACTTTTTGTTTCATGTCCAGATTTCATAATCTAAATACCATCATTTGTGCTTCGCATAGTTCTAATGTTTTTGTCTCTAAGGAAAAAAAATGTTGGATGCCTTATCATCATTAGAAATTACAGATTATAAAGGCTTTACACTTTGCATTTGTCTCTATTATGAATTTCACCAGAGATTTTTTTAAAATATTCATTCTTTTTCTACTCACCATTCCCTAGTTATTTAAATAATTTAGAGCCAGAATTTTTTCCCAATACTCTGAGAATTTTAGAAACATCTTCCTCAGGGTCCTCTTTGCTAGAAGTCTAACCCTTTGGAAAATAGTACAAAGACATTTTTGGTTCCTGTGAGGTTAAGGCAAGAAAACTTTTGCAAAGCACATTCACCCAGCACTCTTTATGCCACCTGTAATCTCTCACATTAGCAAAACCTGAATCTGTAGTTTCTCTTTTTTTCTGCTTACAGGCATGGATCTCTTCTCCAACTGCACTGAGGAATGCAAAGCCCTGGGCCACTCAGATCGGTGCTGGATGCCTTCTTTTGTCCCCGCTGATGGACGCCAGGCTGCTGATTATCGCAGCAATCTTCATGTTCCTGGCATGGACTCTGTTCCAGACACCGAGGTGTTTGAAACTCCAGAAGCCCAGCCTGGGGCGGAGAGGTCTTTCTCCACCTTTGGCAAAGAGAAGGCCCTTCACAGCACTCTGGAGAGGAAGGAGCTGGATGGACTGCTGTCTAATACACGAGCGCCTTACAAACCACCATATTTGAGTAAGTATTACATAAAAGGCTTTATCAAAGTATTCCCTTTGAGGGAATAAGTTCAACATGCCATTCTTCTTAGTAAAAATAGAGTTCAGGTTGTTTTCAGAAACAAAGATAAAAGTGACTCTCGGATGCAGGCAGCATTTTACTATGGAAAAATGAATATACTCAACAGGAAGACAGGTTCCTGTGTTAGGACATGGTTGTTGACAACAATCAAACGTAACTTTTGATGCTGAAAACATTTTTTAAATGTACTTCATATTTCCTTTGAATATTGCTCTCTTGCTGACTTGATTTCCATGTGTTTTGAAGGGCTTAATTAAGATGGAAAAACATCTCTTGACACTTGAGTCACTGGGAGATTTCATTTTTTTATTGATGCCAGCATTATCGCATAATCATCCTTTTTCCATAGTGACATTAAGCATTTTAGGCTAAATTAGGAAATCAGTGCAGCCATCACTTTGACCATTCAACGCAGTTTAGTAATATGTTCATATGGAGTAAGTCTCTGACCAGAATCAGAGGAACTATGTGATGGAAACATATAAATAAAGCAATATTCTTCATTTACTTCATTTACTTAAAATAACATGTTATTCTAACATGGAGACATTGAAAATTGTACTCAGCTCTCTCAATATTGGGACCACATTCTGTAAGTGCATTATTTTATGCAACCACTGTGAAAATAAAAATGCTTAGAGATTCTGTAGTGTATTTCCTTTGAGGATCTTGGTGATGAAATTATATTCTCTGCTACATAGTTATGTTTTCCTTTTAGTTAATGGATAAATACCACTGAAAATTCAATAGTTTGGTCAAACCATATAAACTAATATTTGATGAGAAGGAAACTCATTAAAAACTCAGTCAAAAGATGACTTTTATCTTGTATAGGAAATCCAGCATATCTGACATTTTCTTTCTTTCATTTTCTAGTATAAAAAAATCATGGAATCATAAGCTAGAAACAAAAATGAGACAGAATGCAGATGTATCATTTCTTTTATGATTTATGGAATAGGAGGGAAATAGGAAAAATGCTGAAAGGAAAGAAAAAAACTAGAAGAACATATATTTTAGCTCTTATGAATGTAAATATGAAAGGCATGGTTTGAATGCATTGAGGACAAGACTACTATTCTAGACATTGATAATACAAGTCAACAAGTGTCCTGTGAATAAAGGAATGGATCTGCCATTGGATATATACATTGTCATCACTGTTGCCATCCAACAGTGATTAAACTGTTTTATGAAGGATTGCCTTCAACTTTTCATATTACTTAGAAATACCATTACCCCTGCGTGTTGTAGTATTTTAGCTTTTCAGAACCAAATAATTGCTCCTGTCTATTAGCTATTGATATTTGTTTTGCTTTGTCTTTTGAAGATTAAAATACATTTTTATCTTCAAATATAAATACAAGGAGAGCACATATACTTAAGGGAAGTATTGAAATGTCTAACATAATAACTATGATGAAATTTGAACGCTAAAGTCCTAAAGTTTAGCTCACACATCTACACATATTAGTGATTGAAAATAGCCTAAAATAGTTATATGTGTTGCTAGAAATCAAAGAATGCATATGTTATTTAATTAAGAAGTTAAGATTTATTTCCATAATCAGATATGGTAGAATAAATTAGTTTTTAAAAACTTTTTTTTTTCCCCTGTGTTAGCCAGCTCACACCACTCAAACTTTAGGGTTTGGGATAAAGTGTGACCTGGGTGCAAAATAAGCCCAAATATAAGTATTTTGTTGTTTTTACTTATACCATCCTTAGCTCTTCATAAAACCTCAACTTTTAGTGTTTAATGTTATCTTAGACTCAAACAATTATCTTTAAAACTACATCATGGTTCTGATTTAATAGACACAGGCAATTTTACAGTTAACTTGATAGTATAAACTACAAATAAAAAACATCCCTGACCATTTTGCCCTCCAAATTCACCTGATGATGGTTGTTAACACTTGTACTATTTATCATCAGGAATGGAAATATTCTCATCTTCTAAATTGAAAAGCATGTCACTTACATAATTAAACTAAAAACTTGGCACCTATAACCTGTTTTTAATCAGAATGTTTAAATAATTATTGGGGTAGTAATTTTCTTTTGCTGAACATGCATTTAGTTCTTTAGTGGACATAATGTTTATTTAATGTTAAGAAAGTAGTTGTATATTTTTTTTTGTAGAGCTCTAAAAATAAAGCCTAATGAAGCTACCACTGTCATTTATAAAATGATTAGGAAATGGTAATATGCTTAATAATACAGATGAGATCATTGTCTCTACCCAAGAACTTCCCATTTCTATACTTCTGATTGCTAAATTTAAAATTAAAAATCGCAAGAAACCAACTTCTACACAAAAGTACTTGTATGCACGTGTTAAAAAAGAAGTAGTTTGTGTTTCTTTTTGTATGCCCAAATACAACTATGTTTCCTTTTTTTTAATGTGTAAGAAAAGATCCATGAAGAGTATGGATGATGCATTTAGTGAAATGAAAGTTATTTTTTAAATCGGTAATAATTTTGAAAACGTCTATCAAACTCATCAGTCATGAGTACTTTATGAGCATGCTTGTTCTTATTTTTGTTATAATACTGTAGTTTGTTAATGCTGTGATAAATACCAAAGGAATACACTGAAAGATTGAAGAAATAAATTTAAACATGCAGAATATGATTATATTCAAAACTCAATCTTTAGATTTATCTTAAAATACTAATGAATTTTAGCATAAATAAATTTACCTTTTTCAGAGAAATAAAAAATACTAAAATATCACCTTAACTTTTAATAAAAAATAATCACTGTTTTTGACACTTATTAAAATTAAACATGAAAAAAATTATTACCTAGAGTTTAAAAATAATACCACATTTTATCATGAAGAGTACAAGAATTTCTTTAGTATTATAGACCTCTTATTTGAAATAAGTCTTTCAAATGACAAAACGTTATACAGAAAACAATCTGGATAGTCTCAGCAAATAAGTAGCATAAAAATAATTTATGTTTCAGAATATAATTGATAACAGCTATATTACTAAGATAATTTAGAAAAACCCAATAGTTAAAACAATATCTTAAATATTACTTTGCAGTCATACTTACTTATGATTTTGGCTTCATATTTTAAATATCATCGCTTGTGACTTTTGTCAGTAAATAAGCATGTCTTTTGGCTCGAATCAGCATAAGCATACAGTGGTAAAGATGTAAGCTTTCATTCTTTGGAAACTCATTGATTTCTTTTTTTTTTAATTTTATTTTATTAGGTTATGTTAATCACCATATATTACATCATTAGTTTTTGATGTAGTGTTCCATGATTCATTGTGTATAACACCCAGTGCTCCATGCAGAACGTGCCCTCTTTAATACCCATCACCAGGCTAACCCATTCCCCACCCCCTCCCCTCTAGAACCCTCAGTTTGTTTCTCAGAGTCCGTAGTCTCTCATGGTTAGTCTCCCCCTCCGATATCCCCCCCTTCATTTTTCCTTTCCTACTATCTTCTTTTTTTTAATATATAATGTGTTATTTGTTTCAGGGGTATAGGTCTGTGATTCATCAGTCTTACACTATTCACAGTGCTAACCATAGCACATACCTTCCCCAATGTCTATCACCCAGCCACCCCATCCCTCCCACCCCCATCACTGCTTTCTTGTCAATAAACCTAATCAGTTCCTAAAAATTGACAACAGTCAAAAAACAAATAACCAATGAAATTTCAAATAAAATATATTTGTGAAAATCTTTCTTTCATTTATTTAAAGTGTCATACAATAATAAATTATATTGAATGACATGAATAAATACATTGACATAATAATTTTTTAAACCCTAAATCCATGAAATTTTCTAGACTCATAGGACTGTAGGGAACCCTTTACTGAAGTGTCATGGTCCATCCTTTGTTCACATTACACAACATTTAGACTAGTCCATATATGCAAAAAATTGCTAGTTGTCTCCTTACCTAATTTTATTTTGCCTACTTTTTGAGTCATTTTGAAACTTCAGTTTAACTCAATCTTAACACAAGAAAAGATGTCAGAACTTTGAAACATTCCATTTGAAAATTGCTGAAACTTTACCTAGACATTTTTCAGTAAACCTCATTTTGAGAAAATTCTTTTGGGCATCTATATTATTTCTATGGTGCACTTCAAGTTTTCAGTTGATTGAAATTGTAGAGCATGTTTTGTTTAGACACATCTCTTTCCATCCCTTCATTATCTCAATCTGCCTTCTATGAGTTTTCGTAATTTGTTGAACTCAGTAGTGTGGTAAGAACGTACGTAAGATTCAAAATAAAACCACTTTTCTTATTGGTACACATTACTCTTGTATTTATGAATCCTTGTATATGTTTTTTCTGGGATTTCTATATTCCTGTTATGTCATAAACATAACATCCATTTATCAAATAATAAAGTCCATAAATAAGCATTATTATACATGGCCATTTAAACATTTCTCTCATAGGTCCATACATCACTAAATGAATGGACATTTTTTTTCAGGATATTTTTTTCCTAGTACATATGTTAATTTCTGTTCCCTTTTTCTCCAAGTTGTGTTACTTTTTTATAATATCCTATTTCTGAGACTTTCGCTTCTCTCACTTTTCTTTATAAGAATAGCTCTAGATTTGTGAACCTAACTTTCTCACTTTTTTAGTTTAAACCTTTGTGACAAATCTCTGGTCTTTGAATCACACCAGTCCTTCTGTTTTCCATTAAATTCCTTTGTTTAGTAATTAAGAATTGATCTCTCATAATCAATATAGTTGACTCACCTAAGCTCTTGAGCAGGAAATGAATGATAACTCAGGGCCAGAAAAAACCCCAACCAACTCCAGGTCATATTCTCTGTATATCTACTGTTAGATTTAATGTTCACTGAATTTTATGATATTTTACTTCTTTGAAAAATGATAATCTATTCACAATTTGTATCATTACTCGAGTTAGCTGATGCAGCAGCTGCCTGGAAACTTCCAGTAACTCCAGATAACTGAGATATAATCATATTATCTTATTTCTTCTGTAGTTGTTCAGTAATGGTCTACCTCAATTAATATGACTTCAAGTGAAAGCTATAAAAATCTTTCTTAGGTGAATGTTCATTTTACATCTATACATCTGACTTTTTCTGTAGGCAATTTGTTTTTCACTTATTCAGACATCAGCGCTTCTCAGTGACTTAGGACATGTCATTTAAAATTTGTGCCCTTGGGTGCATTGGAACTGGTTGGTATCCAGTAATCTCTTGGCGTATTTAGACTTATTACCCAGCTATGCATTTTATAAATGCTAAATAATTATGTGATAAAAAATGAATGAATGGCTGAATGAGTGTTTTTAAAGTACCCAAATAATCTTTAATGCGGTCGTTATTCTTTCATTTACACACGCGTCTGCACAGTTTTTTTTTTTTTTAATCCTTAGGCAAACTTTCTTTTCTTCAAATTTTTAAAATATATTTTAAATTAGTTATATTTCTCTCGTGCTATTACCTACAAAGTTTTTATAAGGGGAAGGAGATCGTGAACTCTTTCAAAATATTGATATGCCCATAACCAGGGTGCTTTGTAAAATATGATGGAGTTTTTCAATACCTTGAGACTTTAAACACCTTTTGATTCATTCTAAGAACTTATATTCTAAAAAGGTGTTAAATTTGTTTCATACTTGTTAACTCTCCTAGAATTTTAAATACTCCTCTTTCTTACCAGATCTTTGAGATAATCTTTCCTTGACATATTTTATTTACTAGCAGCTTTCATAGTTTAGGTCTTATCTTTCACTTGTTTGTAAAGCTAATAGGTATAAATTTTCACGTAGTATAGTCCCTTATTTTTCTTATATAATTCCCATGTAGGAATTATTTATTTGCATGTTACTAATTATATTTTTGAACTGACAGATACATAGCTAAATAAAAATATATATTTAAGGCTATATAGAGAAGACTTAATTGATAAAAGTAATTTATATCTTTATTCAATATTTTGCACTCCTTAGTATATGAGTCTCCATCTACCTTATTAAAGCAGTTTATTTCATGCATACTTTGCATTTTATTGAGCTACCATTTAGCATATTAATATTATTTATATACCTCATTTTATATTACAGATCATTTCCATCCTCTTTCTTATTTTGTACATTGGAAGTAAATCCATATAAGCACTTGTCCGTCATGTGAGCCTAACAAAGGAAGATTATCAATTAAAATATAAATAGAATTATTCAATGAAAAGGATTATCTACTTGGGATTTTTTTCCTGCCTCATCATGCTGAAGATGTATGGGTCAAAATTTAAATGCATTAAGTTATAAAGATATTGTAAAGAAGTCTGGAATATACAAATTCAATTGCTTATAAATATCATTAAACATTATTCAATACTCAATGTGCCAGACATTTTTTGGGTGAGTCTGTGTCTTCTAAAGTCCTTTTAATAGGAATTAGATAGCATCATTTAGACACTATAGCTTGGAAACTGTTTTGGACTGTAAGGTTCATTGTTCAAGATTAAGTAATACTATCAAATTAGGACTAAGCTCAGCATAATGGGAGTAAATTTAGTGTTTCCCAAAGTATAATAAAAATCTTGGAAGTTCTATATCGAGGTCCAATAAGACTTCCTAATTACTGCATTAGTGGCCCCTAATCACCTACATCAATTTAAGTGAGGAGAGTACGGAGGATTTGAAAACATTGAATCCCAAATGTAATTACATACAAAAGGATATGGATAAGGACAAATTATAAGCTAGAAATTTTCACAGGTGAAAATCAGGGTTTTATTTCTGAAACTTTCATCGATACATTATATGACATTATGTTTGTACTACCTAGGCATATACCATTTTCTTTCTCATAGAGATACCTTTCTTTTAACTGTGAAGATTGAAAAGACTATATGTGAATTTAATTTCAATGAAATTTCCATAATCTGTACAGTCGAATGTTATTATATTATCAGTGACAAAAAAAATTATCAATGACAGTTTTTAAGTCATTGAATTCAACAAGTGATTGCAAACATATTTTCTGTGTTCTTTTTCATGATTCTGTCGTATGGATACATTTGTGTATATACATATCCCATATAGAAGCATTATATTTTAATTTAATTTAATTTAATTTTTAATTATATCTGTCAATTACCAGAGGAGAAACAGAGCGTGATTATTTAACTAATGGCTATTTCATCATCAGAAGCTATTAAACCTGAGAATATAGTTTTTTGAGAAACAGATAAGTGACGTAATCAATTTTGGTCTGTTTCTTTATTTTTTAAGGCACTGATTGTACTTTTAGAGGACCAGTTCACACTGCGTATTATAGCAAAATTAATGCTACAGTGACACTGTAGAGGAAATAGATGTCTGTATTCTGAGGAAAACATTATTGTTACTGTTTGTAAAAATGTTGTAATAAGACTTTTTTCCTCTTTTCATGTTGCTATTAGACAGAATCCTACACTAGATTCCAATATTACCTGTGTTGGATATTTAATGGTATTTTTTACACGTACTAGAAAAGTGAGTTAGTTTGTCGTCAAGTGGTCTAAGGTTCATATTTATACCAATAATGATATTTCAGCTGAAAGTTGGATAAAGACTGCATTATTCATAAAAAGCATAGTTGTAAATATTTTTTGTTAAAATTTTCAAAACAATGTCTCCAAGCCCAGGAGAAATACGTAGATAAAATCAGTATCAAATGTATATTTCTTTTTTTTTTTTAAGATTTTTTTTTTATTTATTTATTTGACAGAGAAAGACACAGCGAGAGAGGGAACACAGGCAGGGGGAGTCGGGGAGGGAGAAGCAGGCTTCCCGCCGAGCAGGGAGCCCGATGCGGGGCTCGATCCCAGGACCCTGAGATCATGACCTGAGCCAAAGGCAGACGCTTAACGACTGAGCCACCCAGGCGCCCCTCAAATGTATATTTCTTGAGTTAAATTTTGAATCACCCTGGATAAAGAAATAGCCATAGTGAAGGGATTCCTTTCTATCTCACTAAAACATATCCTTGGGTTTTGTCTCAAAGTGCAACACATGGTAGAAAGTTCTGAGTCAGCAATGGCAACAGTATATAAAGTGTACATAATAAGTTGTCTTGATGGGATATACTTGATGGTGTATATAAGATAAAATATTTCCCATGTAGTTTTAATCAAAATAGTGTTAGGAATAGGTCCATAGGTATGAACCTAAATGTTATAGTTTAACTGTTGTTATTGTTTCATTCTTAGAAAATGTATAGAAAATCTGGAGGCTGACCTGTAAAAAAATTAATATAAATTTATTGTACTCTTTCTGCCCCACTCTTAATAAATCTGATGCCAGATCAGTCCCCTTGCTAGTCACGGATGGTGTGGGTTTAAGGTTTATTTGCCACAGAAATACTCATCAGATGATTACACTGAAGGTCATGAAATCAAGATATGTTTTGGTAGATGTATCTTGATTCTTGAGTTACCTCAATCTTTTTGATAAGAAAAATGGTACTAGAAAACAATTTTATGTAGAACTCACAGAGTTCTACTAAATTATACTTTTAAACATAAAAACAGTGGATAATTTCAAGCATATACAAAAATACAGTGAATAGTTCTAAACTCTCCATGTTCTCCAGCCTAAACAATGATCAATTCATAGCCGTATTTGTTTCATGCAACGTTAAAACACTGTCTTTTCACTCAGATTTTTAAAGCAAATCCAGAGATCCTACTGCTTAATCCATTAAAATTTCAGCATGTGTTTATTAAAGATAAAGTTTATTTTTAACATTACCACAAGAACAGTATTCCTCTTTAAAGAAAGTTCTTACTATCATCGGTTGTCTACTTATTGTTCAAATTTCCATAATTTTCTCATAAATATTATTTACTTTTACATTTATTATTTATAATTTTCTCATAAATATTATTAATATTATTTATATTTAATTAATTTGATTCATGATTAAAATAAGCTCCATACCTAGCAACCCATTTTTAGTTTTTTTATTTTTAAACTTTTTATTAAAGTATAAAATACATGTAGAAAGGTACAAAAATCACAAAAGTATAACCTAAGTTTTCACAAAGTGAGCTCACTTGTGCAATCAGTGACCACAACGTTAACATGGGTACCAGGTCCAGTAGTCAAAAAGTCCTAGTACTTCAAAAAGTACCTCCAAAAGTCCTGTATTCTGTCCTTTTCCGACTACCAACACCCCACGGGGTGCCACTGTCCCAGCCTCTAACCAAAAATTAATTATTCTGGGTTTTCAATTTTATGTAATTTGAATAAATGAAATAGGATAATATATTTGTTTCACTAAAATGTAATAGCCAGATATTCTCTCTGAGACTATAGGGAAAACAATCAGCAGAGCCTAAAATACACCAGTGTGTGAACTAAAAAAACAAGTTAGTTAGCATGTATTCTCCTTGAACATGATTGTTCTTACTATTTTTGGAATTCTGATCATGTCTAGTCTTTCAGAAATGCCTGTCTTTCTATCTTTCTTATTGTTGGAAACATTATCTGTTAACTTAGTGGTGTTTTATAGAAGCAAATATTTAAATATGTTCATTTGAATACCAGATTATAATGAAAGAGTAGAAAAATTGAAATATCTATATTTCACATTTCTTTGAGTCTAGGTTAGAGGGTTGTGGCAAATTGGCACGCACGATGCTAAGGGGAGACTTACTAAAAGAGAATAACATTTTGGAAAATGGTGTATCTGAAGAGAGTTTAAAAGGATTGAGGGACTGTGAATTGAGAAGAAAAGGGGAGCGTATATATATGTACATATATATATTAACAAATGTTAAGTGTTTAAACAAATACTGCACAGATAAGATAGGGATCAGTTAATCTGTCTTTATTGAGAGCAGAAAAGAGAAAATAGATCTATATTGCATCCTGAGAGATGTAAATTACACATTATGGGAAATATCCTGACCCTGGCATTGGTATTTGCTCCTGAGAGATATGGAAACACTTTACCTAGAGAGCTTTACAAACTACAGACGTAGGCAGATGTCAGCTGCGATTTGGTGGAGTGGCACTTTCTAGCCCTGAGATGTATTTCCTGCAGAACGTGTTTCCCAGCACTGGGGCTGGTGAAGGAGTGAAGGGGATGAGGCTCAGTTTTCCTGGAGGACAAGGGAAAGGCAAGTGAGAAAGCCTAGGTTTTTATCAATTTCCTTCCCTTCCTGTTTCTGTGGTAGATGACTTCTTTTATTTCTTAGGGATTTTTAAAGGGAAAAAATTGGTCGCATAAGGCCTTTTTTGTCCCCCTCACACATTGAATTGCAACGGATGATTAAATATCCAGTACCAGAAATTAAGAAATCATAGTTGTAGAAGGAAATTTGGGGACATGTGTAGAGGGCAAAAGCTGAGTATAAAATTTGTCTATTAAATTTATAAATATATATAGAGCTAGAGATAGATATGCAATATAGAACATAGATCATGTCTATTAAAAGTATGCATTACAACTTGAAAGTGTAAGGCTCCATATTATGTATAATAATAATTTACAAAAGGAAGACAGATGACTATAGATTTTAAATATCTGACTTTTTCAAAGATTGACTCTTCATTGAGCTGGCTTATTTCTCTTTTAATAAGAATTTTCCACTTGTGGTATCATTTTATCTTCCGCTGAATTTTAAGGAAAATCCACAGTCAGTTACTATGAAATGGCTCACACTTAAATAAAAAATGAAACCAAGATTAATAATGATTCAAGGTCAAGTTCCCTACTCCTTTTATTTTTAAAATATTTTATTTATTTATTTGAGAAAGAGAGAGAGAGATAGCGAGAGAGAGAGAGAGAGAGAGAGAGAGCACAAGGAGGGAGGAGAGGGAAAAACAGGCTCTCTGCAAGCAGGAAGCTCAGTTCCAGGACCTGAGATCATGACCTGAGCTGAAGGCAGATCCTTAACTGACTGAGCCACCCAGGCACCCCATGTTGGCTACTCCTTGAACCTCATAGTAATAGGTGCTTTCTTAATTATTTTGGAAGATACACACTGTATATGATCATTACATTTTGGTTTGTTACTTTGGAGAGTAAGTTAAAATGTAGCATTAGCTTGATAACATGAAAGCATGACTTAATTACACACTTAAGAAAATAAAATGAAAAGAAAAATAATCAAATGGGAAATTGTATTAGCTAAGCATTAAGTCTAATTTAATAACAGTAGTAGCTACTACTGAGTGCCCATTTTATAGTCATGAAAAGATGAAATAAGACACAGTCAA